TTGTTCCAAGGGTGTGATCTCCAACTCTGTTCCCATACTCCAGTCCATCGCCATAGAGGAAAGCTGAAGTGATGTAGCCAGTGGCTCGGACTTTGCTTTCAATTGCACCATTTGGATGAAAAATGAAGTCCCAGACATAGTCGTAGTTGCCCATGGTTGCCACAGAACGCAAAACAAGAGCAGTGGCAGGCAAACCTCCATAGTAGAGGGACTGAAGGTTGGAGAAATGACGTCGAAAAGGAACTTCTACATTTTGCTCAAAAACACAGATGGAGTTCTTCTGCACCTCTGGTTCCCAGTTATCAAAGAAATAAGTAGCATCCAGATAGGTGGCAGAGTAAGGGCAATCTACTCCCTTGACCAGCGAGTAAGTGTACCTCCCAATTCCAAAACTCCCATCCATATATCGAGTTAACATCCCGCCAGGAGAATTGGAGCCATAGACAGACAAAGCCTCCTGGACACTCAGTTCATACACAATCCTTTGGTTCCTAAATCTGATATCATAGATGTGTGGTCCTCTGTTTGCATCCATCCTGTAGGCAAAACTCCACAACAGAGAAAGAACCTGGTTGTTTTTCACACTATAGCGCTTCCCACAAGGCTCATAGTGTAAAGGACCAGTTCCCAGAGGTGTAACTGTGGGATGCATTGAGGAAAATTCTCCATCAGGCACAACTGTCTTAACTTTGGTCACTTGGACATTCTTCTCTTTGAACTTTCTTTCCAGGTCTGCAAAGCTATCATAATACACACCATTGTAGAATACCTTTGGAATACTCCAACGAGAGACGTTCAGACTGCTATGGTCTAGCAGCAGTTCCATTCCCACTGGATGCAAAAAGTAGCCTTTTACATTCTGGAACAAAGCAATCCACGTTTCCCGATGTCCAGACTGGAACCCCCGGGGGGCTGATGTGAGACCTGCAAAATTGCTCCCATTGTGCCCAAATACTTGCATCAAGAAAGTGGGAGCCTCAAGAAAATGTTCCATGACGACATCGTGCATTTGCTCATATTCATTACCAAGCACAGGTCTCTCATGGTAGAAGATCACTCGTCCATATTGATTCGTTGTCACGTCCCGATGATACGCTGGCCTTGGCAGTGGGCCCACCACATATTCTGTGACATTTGGAACTGCCTGGTTTCCAAAGTAGACCACAACTAGGGCCTCTCGAGGTGGCTGTGACCCTTTGTGATCAAGAAATTTAAGCACCTCTTCTTTGGGCGGAATCTTTACTTCCATGTAGTAAATGCAGTTTTGAGAAGGGTCGGCATGATAAGCATCCACCAGTGGCGCATTCAGATTGGACTGTAGATACTTCCTCACCAGGACCATCTCTCCTGCTGACAGGTCAGCAAAGACCAAGCTCCCGTCGTTGTGTTGTCTTTTCAGGGAGGTCTCTGAGTCGGCACCACAGCGAGCAAACTCTTCTTTCCTGACCAGCAGCATACATACTAAAGCAAGGATCGTAACCAGAGCAAGCACAAGGAGGACGAGGAGAGCTTTAGCATTCATTGCTAGAGAGCAGAGCCTGGGAGCCCCTGCAGCAACTTCCACAAAGTCAGTCCCTGTGGCAATTCGTTTGGCTGACACTGGAGCTACACAGCACGATATCTTACTTGCGCCAGGAAGTTTGACATGTTTGGGTACAGGCCAAAAAAAGGAGGGTTAGAGTCCCTGGCCAAGGCTAAATAGCAGGATGCTCTTCCTAATAGGACCTGCTGGTTCAGCACAGAGAAAACCCATATAGGGATTCTTGACAATTGGGCAAACAGCCCAAAGGTGTTTTTGCAAAAGATCACCAGAAAGGAATCTCATGCAAAGCTAAAGACCTCAAGTTCCTCCTTCTGGAAAGATCCTTGAACTGAATTCCACATGTCTCTTTCTAGTTCCAAGCCTGAAACATGCTCCTCCTCTCTCTTGGCCCCTGATAACTTAATGGATGCAAACTTTCATAAACTTGGACGCCATCTCTACGTAGGGAGGAGAGTTTATGTTTATCTCATTCAGCTGTCAAAATTGGGACTAAAACAGCCAGGAATGGAGGAGGGTTTGCAGGTTCAGCCATAAACCATGGCTTTACTTACAGGATGGAGAATTGTTTTATTCCTGTTTACGCAAAACTACTGACATGGCTGAGCCAAGATGGAACAAATAGTAGTCAACGCCTAATAGTAACCAGAATACGAGGGTTGAATGAAAAGTAATGCCTCCACCTTCGTTACTTGGGCTTGGATGGGAATATTTTAATAAATCAAACCCAGAAATATCCTTAGAATGTGCTCTTTAACTACCACTATTCACTAGGTTGTTGTAGGTTTTTTCGGGCTGTATGGCCATGGTCTAGAGGCATTCTCTCCTGACGTTTCGCC